GAAACCAGAACCCTCTTGTGCTGCTGGTGGGAATGTAAAATGGGACAGCACAATAGAAAATGGGATGGCAATTCCTCAAAAAATTGAAAACAGAATTCTTATATGATCTAATAACTCTACTTCTGGGGACATACACAAAAGAACTGGAAGCAGTATCTCAAAGAGACATCTGTACATCATGTTCATAGCAGTGTTATTCTCAATAGTCCAGAAGTGGAAGTAACCCAAACACCCACTGATGGATACTGACAAAGTGTGACATGAACATACGAGTGGAATATTATTCAGCCTTTAAAAAGGAAGGCTACTGGGGCGCCTGGGTGGCTCAGTTGGTTAGGCATCCAACTTCAGCTCAGGTCATGATCTCACAGCTCGTGGGTTGGAGCCCGGCGTCGGGCTTTAATGCTGATGGTTCAGAGCCTGGAGCCTGTTTCAGATTCTGTGTCTCCCTCTCTCTCTGACCCTCCCCTACTCATGCTGTCTCTCTCTCTCAGAAATAAATAAAAAAACATTTAAACAAAAAAAAAAAAAAAAGGAAGGCTACAACATGGGCATACCTTGAGGACACTGTGCTTAGTGAAATAAACTAGTCACAAAAGGACAAATACCATATGATCCCACTTACATGAGGTCCCCAGAGCAGTCAAAATCAGAGAAGCAAAGAGTAGCATGGTGGGTGCCAGGGGCTGGGGAGTTAGCGTTTAATGGGGACAAAGTTCCAGTTTGGGGAGATAAAGAGTTCTGTGGATTGATGGTGGGGATGATTGTACAATAGTGTGAATGTACTTAATGTCACTGAACTGTACACTTAAAATGGTTAAGATGGTGACTTTTATGCTATACGTATTTTAACACAATTTTTTTTAACTGGAAAAAAGGCCTTCTCTAGCCTCACTGCCTAAATTTCCCCCTTACCCCGCCCTTGGCACCCAGCTCCCACCAGCAAGGTTTGCTCTGTTCGTTTGGTGTCACAGCACTTTCACTGCCTAAACCCACTGTAGGGGCCTTCTGGTTGCTCATCTCCTTCCCTAGGGTAGAAGCTCCACCAGGCCAGGGAGGCACCGGGTCTATCTTGTGGCTGCTGCATCTCCAGCCATTGGAAGGATGCCTGGCACAGAGCAGGTGCTCTGCTGAAGAGGAGGGCCAGGGAGAAACGGAGTGAGGATGCAGGGAGAAGAGATGCAGATGGGAGTGAGTTCCTGTTTGCCAGGGGACAAGCTGATTTGTGGGACAGAGAGCAGGTTGCAGCCTGAGGAAGCTGCTGCAGGTTTAGGAGGGCCTCCTGGGGACGAGGAGAAGTGAGCACAGGCCATGGAGCCAAGGTGGGGGGCTGCACCATGGGCTGAGAACACTTGCACAGAGAAAGCATGTGGTCGATTTAAACCCAAGTCAGGGACAGGCCCAGTGGAAATAACCAGGGTTCAAGCAGATGGTCAGGTAGAGGAGGTGGCAGGTCTCGTGAGGCTTGGGGGCAGGAAGCCAGCAAGGAGGCCCAGGCCAGGCCGCCGGGACCGTGGGTACAGCGAAGGAGGAGATGACCTGCATGGGCAGGGCCAGGGAGGATGTCACAGCTGGGCAGCCCTTTTCCAGAGCACAGGGCAAACTTCTGCCTGGGCTCGGGGGTAGACCTGTCTGGGAAACATGGGGACAACAGGACTCAGGCAGAGGAGGAGGTGGAGGGAGGAGGTGGCTCCAAGAGGCCATCAACTCCTGGGTTCACCTCTGGAGGCTGGTATTTAGCTTGAAAAGTCTCGGTTAGTCTGAAAATCAGGCTCTCTGTCGGGGAAGAGTGACATGCCAGGCAGCCTTTGTCTCCTTTCACAGCCAGATCTATTTTTATGTCCTTCTTGCTTTCCCTTTTCTGCCCCCTCTTCGACCCACACCCCTTGAATGTCTGTGAGTGGGAGAGAGGGAGAAATCAGATAGGCAGGTGGACAGCTGGGCTCAGCCTCCAGTCCTGCTCCAGAAGGCTCTCCACTCCTGATGTGGCCACCTCAAAACACCTGGAAGAGTGGAGCTCACCACCTTTCATTTATTTTTACATAATCCATAGCAAACATGCCTTCTGAGGCCTGGGGAAGCAATTCCACTATCACTCACACCTTCCCTAGGTCTACTGCTCCGAGGTGGCTGGAGATGGGAAATCTGGCTCTTGCCCCCTTTGATGTGATGGAGGCACAGGGGGAGCACCTTTGCCTTTTGGGGAAGTAGAATTTTCAGAGACGGTGGAAGACAAAAAGATGATGAGCAAATTCTCCCTCTCCCTGCCTCCCACCCCCCAAACCCAGGAAAGACTGCACCCTCTGGAAATCTCCCTTCACATCTGCACTGACGCCCAGCAATTTTGGAACTCTTCTCCACTGAGGGCTGGGGGGAGGGAGTGCACAGTACTCCCCCCCACCCCCGGAGGGTCACTGTGGCTGCAGGTACAGAGACTGAAATGCCCCTCTCTGACCCCATCTCTTTCTGGGATCTACACTAGAGAAGAGCATGTACAGGAGGAGTGTGAACCAGTGCACTGTGATGCTGTGGACACAGCGTAACAATTAGAAACACTACACGCGTCCCTCAGCAGGAGGATGGCAAAATAAAGGACAGCATATCCATAAACTGGATACCATGCGGCAGCTAAAAAAAAAAAAAAAAGAAAAAAAAAAAAGGATGCTGTAGCTGCTGTAGCAGTGTGTGAAAATCTTGTAACACATGAGTGAGTGAACCAACCAGCGTAGGTCAGGTTTCTTATAGTCTGATGTAGCTCAACCTAGCAAAACAACTCCACAAACAGTAGCATCCATGTTCTACTCATAACGAACGACATACGTAGGAGAATGCAAGGGAAAAATTCTGGAAAGATACACACCAAACTGTACACACAGCTGGGACAGTGGTAACACAGCTGGAGGAGGAGATGCAGGTATTCCCAGAGGAATGTTTAACAGACAGCTGGGTGGCTGTGGGGGGGAACCAGCACTAGGTGGGGAACCCTGAGGTACAGACAGTTGCACAGGGGGTGCCCTACTGCCCTGTCAGCCCTTCAACTCTTCCTGGCCTGGTACCCAGACCCGAATCCCAGTGTCAGAGTGGGGACCAAATCCCAAATAGCAACTATGTTTCTGGGTTCCACAACCCTAGGGATGCTCAGAAAAGCCACAATCACCTATAAATGGCACCACTGGGGCACCTGGGTGGCTCAGTTATTAGGCATCTGACTTTAGCTCAGGTCATGATCTCATCATTCGTGAGTTCCAGTCCCACATCAGGTGAGCTCAAGACCCGCTTCAGGTGAGCCTCGCTTCTCTCTCTCGTTCTCTCACCGACACCCTCACCCCTCCTGGGATTCTCTCTCTACCCCTCACTCACGTGGGCCCTCTCTCTTTCTCTCTCTCTCTCATAGATAGATAGATAGATAGATAGATAGATAGATAGATAGATAGCTCCACTAACTCAAAGCTCCCCTCCCTTGTCCTCAAGGAGCCAACAGCTCCTTCTGGGGAGAGGGCAAGAAGTGGAGAGGTAAGAGAAGGCTTCCAGGGCTGTAGGGGAGAAACAAACACTGGACTTGGAACCAGCCAGACCTGGTTTTAAGTCCAACCCCTTCAATCACTGGCAGAGTAGCCTTGGGCAAGTTACTTAATCTTTGTGTCCTCTGCTACACAGCAGGGGTGATGCACTGACCTTGAATTTGTAGTAAGGAGTATAATAAGCCTGGACAGCAGCAGACAGTGCACTCTACCCAGAGAGGGGGAGGAAGGGTCAGAAGCCAAAGCAGTCAGGACTGAGGAAGAGCCAGGTGGGAAAACCCCTTCGGCATTCCCACAGCCCGGGGGAGGTAACGTTATGAACACCCTGAGCAGACAGATATATGAATTATTAGAATAAATCAATGATATGAAAACAAAACGGAGTCATGACCATTTATACAAAGCTTGGTAAGTGCCAGGTACTGCAGAGCACTTCCCCAGGAGCATCTTTAATCAACGTGATACACCTACCCTGGCTGGGGAAGGAGGGGAGACAAAGATAGGGACACACACACGGGGCAAGGTGCCTGAGGGAGGCTGTCAGGTAGGAGGTGCTGCTCGTCAGGCCCCCCAGCTACCCCTCTGCAGACAATCAGGGCCCAAGAGGTGGAGTGGGGGAAATGTCAAGCTGGTCTCAACCTTCCTAGCCTGTCTCCCTGCAGCTGGGTGTCTCTCAGTCTGAATTCCTGGTCCCCAGCACCTATGGTGTTTCCTGGATGGCACAGGATAACAGCCGTGTGACCCTGGACAAGGTCTTCACTTTTCTGTTTCTGAAATATAAAACACGGGAAGCAAACCCTAGCTCCAAGAAGCAGTGTGTAGAAGGAATGAAACCCTGCCAGTGAATGGAAGTGGAGCACAGGATCCCAGCACCCTGTTGTGAGCATTTATAACTACTACCAGTCACCAAGGCCCAATGCCTACGAAGAGGTCTGGGCCTTTGCTCTAACTTGGTTCTCGTCCCCAGCAGGGCCCACCTCACCGTCTGTGTCCAGGCAAGCCAGAGCCCTTCTCTAGCCCCACCCCTCAAAGCACCACTGCAGGGGAACCAGCTTTCATTCCCAAACTGTCTTCAGTTAAGGAAACTTACACACTTCCCTTAACTCATCCTCAAGACTCTTACTTCACAGATGAGGAAACTGAGGCACAGAGGCCTGAGGTCATTAGAATCCAAGTCTGTCTTGATTCAAATCATGCAGGTCTATTTCACTTCATTCACAAGGGATCTTGGAATCCCCAAACTTCCTCAGACCCAAGAAGCCAGCAGGAACTATCCCCTGGCATCACCCATGCAGGGCCCCGTGTCTGCCACCTGCCTTAAAGCTGTAGCCCCAGCTGTGCAGCAACTGTCTCCGTATCCAACTTGGGACCAACTATTTGCAAACAGCTCCCTCCTCACCAAGAGGGGTTGCAGTAGATCCTTTACCGCCCCTTTCTAGGCCTTCGCATCTCTGACCCCCCACAACCTCGGGGTCCTACCTTATGGGTGAGGCTGGGGTCTCTTGGAGTACCGTCCTCCTCCTCCGAGCTTCCCTGCTCTTCATCCGATGACAGGTCCTCTTTGGGGGCTGCCGCCGAGATGGGACAGACCTTATAGGGCTCTGTGTAGGCGCTGGGGTGAGAGCACAGGAGATAGAGGGTTAGAGCTCCCTGTCCAGCAAAGGCAAGTGAACACACCAGGGGCCCTATAAATGCCACAAGCCATTAACAAGTGCTCTGGGTGCAAAGCTCCATGCCTGCCCTCCATGGGGACCCAGAACTGAATAAGACGCAGGCACAACCTCCCTACCTATTCCCACTCCAGCCATCCTAGCCTCCTTGGAGTTCCCTGAGTATGCCACATTTATTTGCTGCCTAATTGCCTTTACACATGATGTCTAAGTTAGACTTGTCTCTCTGTTAGATATGAGGCAGGCTGTGATGCTGAAGGAGGGTACAAATTATTACTGTGATGTCAAAAGATGTTAATCTGATTGGTCCGACAGTCTGGACAGGCCTGGTCAGGCAGCAGGGTCCATTCCCAAGGTAGCCATGTCCTCTGGGCCTGAATAAGGGATGCAATGATGCAATACAGTTTGGGATGTGCATCTCTGGTTCCTGTGTTGCCATCAGCTAGATCATGGATAAGACACAAGTCAGTTTCCACCTAGAGGAAACTTCTGATCTCATTTTCTTGGTTGATGCTGTGAGGATCCATGCTTAGAAAGCTTACACGGGTGAGATTAACAATCTCATATGTATGTAACTATGACTATTACATAGGCGTTGCCATTGATTAAATACATTTATTCAATCAATGTTTTTGATTGCTTTATGCCAGGCACAGAGCTAGCTAGGCAGTGGGTAAAACAGTGGTGAATAAAGCAGATATGTTCTCTGTCTCAAAAAGGGAATAATGAATAGACAATCATAAGTATAAGTGAAGGGGGAAGAAGGGGGTTCTATCATAGAGAGTAACATGTGATACGTCAGAGAGGGCTGCTCTGAGGCTCCGAGTAAAAGAAGGGAGCTCTGTGATACCACAGGGAAGTTTCCTGGAGAAGCAGCATGTGTAAAGGCACTGAGGCAGCAAAGAGCTTGGCCTGTCACAAACCAACCTGGAGTAGAAGAACCCTCCTTTCTCTGACTTCAAAACTATCTCCACAGAGGAGGCTCTAACCCCATTACAACCACCTCCTTGCTCTGCTCCCTGCTCCGGGCCTCCCTCTCCACACAGCAGAGTGATTGCTCTACAACAGTTGGGCCATGTCCCTCTCCTACTTGAAAACTTTCAATGGCTCTTTCCTGCCATTGGCAATGAAGTCCCAAACACCTTCTCAAAAATTTTCTCCTCATACTCAAAATCCAGGTATTTAGTCTTGTTAAATTCTTATCAAATCTTTATTTCTGCCCTCTGGAAATGCCACAATGAGGTGCTGTAATGATGGATGGATGGATGGATGGATGGATGGATGGATGGAAGCACCGGACAGACTGGAAGAGAGGAGGAGCAGGAGTGGCTAGGCCACTCCTCTTGCTGGAGTGGCTAGGCTAAGGTTAACCCATGCTTCATGTGGGCAGGGATGCTCTTCTTACCTCTGGTCCAGGTGGGGAGAAGCATGGCCAGGGTAGGGGACACCAGGCCAAGAGAAACTGAGCAGTGGCTACAGCAGAACCAGGGCCCACCTTGGAGCTCTTTCTCAACTACTGCAGGAGCCATAACCAGGGATGCCTGGAGCCCAAGCAACAAGGGTCTATGTCAAGAGCAAGACAGGCATCCCCCGGTCCACACTGGAGCCATGAAGCCAGACAGACCAGGGACAATGCAGCCTGTTCCTGCCTGGGCTTCTGCTGATATAATGTGTGTGTCGCAGTGTCTGGAGCTGTGTACCATGTACAGAGGCACAAATTGAGTCCTGACTGGGGCTGAGCCACAACTTACTCTACTGTCCAACTGGCTACCCTTCTGGTCAGACTTCTTTCTACTTTTCTCACAATTGACTTTGCTGTCCTCTTCTTTCAAACTAAGAGAGCAAACAATGGATTTTGCTACAAGCCCTAGACCACCGAAGTATAAAAAGGCACATGAGCACCTCTCCTAGAGCCACCCTACTCCTCTTTCACTGCCCCTTCCCATACCACCCAGGGCCACCAGGAGTCAGAGAAACACCACACTTGCTTTAGTGACCTTAGAACCTCCTTCCGGAAAGTGATTGCATGGGCCAGTCTCCTAGAGCCCTGGTTCCCTCCCTCCCCACTTCCACAGCCTCCTGTATCAATTTGCACCCTCAGACTGAGGATGGCCACATTAGGCCCCAGCAGGAGCCCATTATGCTCTGTGGAGGATAACCTGTAGTGGTGAGGGATGGAGCAGTTAACCAGTGAACTGTGCCCCTGAACCATACTTCCTCATGCACTGTGGAGGAGGAAAGGATTCTCAGCCAACCCTTCCAGACATGAAGGGTGTCGCCATCATCCCTGGCAGCAAGCTGGAAATCTCAGCATCTCCTCACATAGCCAGCCACTATTTGAACACCACACCTCTCCTGGCATTTGCCTTCATGTCTTCCCCAACTCCACTGGCATCTCTGTCATAGCTCTGTGGACCAAGCATTTCTTGCCTGGATATCTGTGACCACTGCTTTCCTATCCTCTCCCATTCCACCCTGGCTGGACTCCAATCTTCCCTACCCAGCAGCCAGAGGGACCTCCTCAAATCCCAATCTGATCATGTCACCCTCTCACTTGAATTGTTCAGTCTGTTGGGCAAGGCTCTGCTCAATTTGGGATGTAAAAAAGCGGGTGTCCTTGGGGCTTCATGCTGCCATGAAGTGTCCCCAAAACTAGATGCTACCTCAGGCCAAGCAGAGGGTTGTATTCCACAGAACAGAGCCATGAGTGATGCTGGGGAGACAGCCATGGGAGTCAAACTCCCAGAGAGGGGGAGACACTGGCTCAAGGTCACATGGCAAATCTAGGCTAGTGCACATTGCCTCCGAGGATGCCTCTCCCTACTCCTGATCCCATTATAGAGATGTGCCAACAGAAGCCTAGTTGAATTCCCCAGTGCACTCATGTATAGAGCTGGGCTCAGGTTATGAGGGTGAAAGGGGGCTTTGTTTTTGTTGTCTGTGTTATTATTTTATCTTCTAGTTGAGAGGTGGTAGAATGCAGAGATTAGAACTCACACTCTTGAGTCAGATTGCCTGTGTTCAAATTCCATCTTGGTCCCATACTGACTGTTATTTAGCTTCACCAAGCCTCAGGGGTGCCTAATTCACTGAGCTGCTGGGAGGATTCAATGAGTTACATAATGTAAAACAATTAGAACCATGTCCAACACATCATAACTCACTAAACAGGAGCACTCTGCATTACCAGCTCAGCTCTAGCTGCATACAGTTATGCTACTATTTACGAACCAGTATCCTCATCTCAAGTGATAACACCCATGAAGTCACAGAGTGTATTCCTCTAACCTTTTCTTTTCTTCTTCTTCTTTTTTTTAAATGTTTATTTATTTGGGAGGGGTAGAGGGGCACGAGAGAGAGGGAGACACAGAATCCGAAGCAGACTCCAGGCTCTGAGCTGTCAGCATAGAGCCTGACATCGGGCTGGAACTCATGAACTGTGAGATCATGAACTGAGCCAAAGTTGAATGCTTAACTCACTAAGCCACCCAGGTATTACTTCTCTAACATTTTCTTATTTTGTTTTTTAAGAGAGAGAGCACGCATGTGCACACAGGGGTAGGGGCGAAGGGAGAGAGAATCCCAGCAGGCTCTAAGCCCAGGGTGGAGCCTGACACAGGGGTTCGATCCCATGACCTGATCTGTGCTGAAATGGACTAAAATCAAGAGTTGGATGCTCAGCTGACTGAGCCACCCAGGAGACCCTCCTCTAACTTTAAAATAAAACACAGAATTATTAATCTATAATAGTTTGATTAACATGGTGTTGCTCATCATCAGAGACCCCACAGACCTCACACTGATAAACACAGTTAGTTACCTTTGACCTACCAACCATCTATCTGCAACCAACCTTAAGCTTTGGCCAGAAAGGTGGCCCATGATATTTTATTCTACTTCTTCTTCTGACTTCTGTTTTCAAGAAAGATCTAGAACAGAAGTCAGACACAAAGGTTTGGGTGCTATAATTATATTTCTGCTTGTTTATTTCACGGTCTTATTTACAGATTGTGAGTGCAACGAATGGAGATGAACTGCCATTAAAAATATACTTTCACAATGTAAAAGAGCAAGTATAATCTAGTGCCTTTGCAGATTCAATTGAAGTTGTAGTGACAGACCTGATCTTGGACAGAAGTCCAAGACCTGATCTTGGACATTCTAAGACCACAGGTGTCAACACAACTGCCCCTACAGACCCTTCATATTTGCTACCAGGCTAATCTTCAAATACAGGGAAGAAAACAGCTCTGAGAAATGTTTCAACAACTTACACCCAAATGCTCCCCCGGGCTCTAGCAGGACTTGTGCCCTGTGTGAGTAACCACTTCTTTCCTTGGGGAAACAGACTGGGAACCCTGACACATCCCTTTTATTTCCCAAGTCTATCAACATAAACCTCTGAGATGAGTCCTTTGCATAGAAGGGAAGGCTGCAAGGCTCTGTATTTTTAGTTGCATGGTTCCTGTCTGTTTGGTTTTTCAGTCATTCAAAAAAAAATCTATTAAGAATCCTCTGTTTTTCAGACTCTGAACTGTAGGTACTGGTAGTACAGTGGTGAACAAACAGACATTGCCTTTGTTCTATGGAAAATGTCCACTGTAACTGAGATGTCTCCAGGTAGCTTATTTGACTATAACAATATATTACATATGAGAAAGCCTTCTAACCCACCCACCCACCCGTCTACATGTTTTCATCTCCTCACCATTCATCTATCCATCCCTCCATCCATCTACCCATCTATCTAACCACCTATCCACTTAGTCATCCATCCCATCCATCTGGCCATCCTTCCATCCAGCTATCCAATAATCCCTCACTCACTTATTCAACATATAGCCACTAGCATTTACTTCAAGGAGCTAACACAGGGAGGACTCAAAGATAAAGTACTATCCCTGTCCTAGTACTAGTTAAGAGGGTGAGCTCACAAGTCAGG